CACCGGTCCTAATGTTTGAAAAAGTGCCTCAACATTGGTGCCAGACGGTTGAAAATGGCTCAACGCCGGTCCAGATGTTCGAAAAAGTGGCCCAACATTTTGGGGCAAATGTTTGAAAAAGTGTGTCAGGGTTTAAATTTATATTGGTAGACGACCTTTTTCCACCTGCCTGATTCAGTTAGGTTGAACGCCGGTAGAGAGGGTTTAGGGTTTAGGGTTTAGGGTGGGTACCTAGAAGGCTGTACAGCCTTAGAGTTTTACAGGGTTCAAGGGCCTAGGATGAACATATCGGGCTATTCAAAAAGCATGATTGGGCTTTCAAGGACACTTACAACGCCCTTGCAGAACCCCTTGTAGAAACCCCTAAACCCTAAACCCTAAACCCCTAAACCCTAAACCCTAAACCCCAAATAAGGCATCCCAAACTTTGAGAAAACACGCCCATGGTGGCGCCTGCTTCGCCCGGCAGACTGCCGCAACCGCAGCTGCTAGGGCCTTCCGCAAGCCAACCCGAGGAGTCCCCCACGGTGCAAGAAAAAGCAAACCATACCGGCCTTGATCAACAGAATAAGATCTTGGGTATGTGGCAGTATATAGTATATGGTATATGGTATATAGAAAAGCTGTTTGGGAGCTATGAGGGCAGAAGTTTGGACCTGAACGATGTTTGTAGGATGCACATTCCACTTGGCAAAAGACGGAGCTCTCCACTTTGAGAGCTTCAAGGTGCACCCAGAGAACCCAATACGCCTGCATTAAGGAATAGACCTAAAATTATCATGGCCTTAATATAAACCCTAAACCCTAAACTCTAAACCCTAAACCCTGAACCCTGAACCCTAAACCCTAATATTATGATTTAAGCTATATTCCTTAATTAAGGGGTCTTGGGTTCTCTCCGGGTACAAACCCATCCCGAGGAAGGCCCGTCCGACATCTCAGAACCCTGAGACCCTCTCCAGAGAGCCCAACACCCCTTAAATTAAGGGAATTATACCTGAAATTATAGGATCGAATTAAGGAATTATACTTGAAGTTATAATATTGAAATAAGGAATTATGCCTGAAATTATAAGATTGAACCAAGGAATTATACCTGAAGTTATAATATTGAATTAAGGAATATACCTGAAATTATAAAATTGAGGCCCCTATAGTTTAAGGTAGGTTCCTTAAATTAAGGGGTATTGGGCTCTCTGGGTCGCCCTTTAACAAATGCTCCGAACGCGACTTGTCTGCCTGTGCCAGGGCGCCAACATACCTCGGAGTAGGAAGAGATGAGACCCAGGCCGGGTTGTGGATTGTGGGGTTTAGGGTTTAGGGTTTAGGGGTTAGGGGTTTAGGGTTTAGGGTTTAGGGTTTAGGGTTTAGGGTTTAGGGTTTACGGTTTAGGGTGTAAGGGATTGCTGTCTGTCTTGAAGCCGCCAAACTATGCAGGCCCCTTTCTACACAGATTGCTGCGGTCGCCTTCCTTCACTGCTCGTGGTCGTCTGACGCTATATCCCGAACCCCAAACCTATAAATCCTAAACCCTAAACCCTCAACCCTAAATCGCCAAACCTAAAAATCCTAAACTCTCAAACCCGAAAGCCTTAAAAACCCCGAAAGCAAGCAAGGCCTGCTGCGTAAAGGACCACGGGACTTCGCAACATAACGGGTTTCAGTAAGGGCTTCTTGGCCCAAACCCCCAGAGCATTGGGATTTAGGGTTTAGGGTCTCAGGGTTTTGGGATTTTGGGATTTTGGGTTTCAGTAACATAACGGGTTTCAGTAAGGGCTCCTTAACCCAAACCCCCCAAAAGGATCTAAAAGATAGATCCCCTTATAAGGGGGTTCCTATATAAAGTACCCTTTAGTAGTTAGGGTCACTAACTAGGGGGTCTATGCAACATAACGGGTTTCAGTAAACCTAATGGTCCAAATGCCTAATATTCATATACTCCCCCAGATAGCAACCTATATAACTACTATCCGTAACCAAAATACCTAATTATTGGGTCCTTTGGACGCTTAGGGTAAGGGCTCCTTAGCAAGCTCTTAAAGGTCAGGGTTCCCCTTGAAGGTGTCTGCATGGGATCCACAAGGGTTTTAGGGCACTGGGGTTTAGGGTTTAGGGTCCTAGGGTTTTAGGGTTTGGGTTTTGGGTTTAGGGTTTTAGGGCACTGGTTTTTTTTTGATCTACGTTAGACGGACTTTTACGACCGCACTTGCCACCTTGGGCTCGTAGGGTGAAACGATCGACCAGCCATGTAGAGGGCCACGGACGTCACGAAGGTCACGAAGTAAGACATTCGGAGGTTTGTCGGGAATCTCGAGCACTGTTTTTGAAGACATAGAGCGACAATTCCTTCCGCTGCTGCTGTTGTTCCAAGATAGCCAGGTTAGGGGCAGGAAGACCAAGAGGAGCCTCGAGCTCAAAGTGCAGTCGACTCAGCCATTCATGAAGCTTCACTAGGCGTGCACGCAGAGCAGGAGAGGGAGAAGAAAACACACCCCCATGCTAAAGGTCATCTACGGCAAGCTGCCGATTCTTAGTCCAGGGCAGATCCGTCTCACGAAGCCACAAGTCCCTGGTCCCCCACCATCTGTCTCTATCCTGTGCTACTTGCATCCATTTCACCCCAAGTGCTTGCGCCAGATCCCTTTC